ACTCAGCGGTAGACTGCTTCGGACCATTTTACATTAAAGAAAGACGCTCAGAATTGAAGAGGTATGGCGTACTATTCACCTGCCGATTTCCCACCAATAATCCAATAACCGGAACTTCTTATCTCGTTGTGGGTGATTCCTCTGCCTTGATGCTGTTGTATCGAATGGAAATGAGCAATAATCAAATTAGTTATGTGACCTTTTTTGGGTAATATAACAGGATGGACGACATCATGTGGTAAATGAGCATTTCTGATTCGCCCACCCACTCGTATAAATCCATTGGTGTCAATAAAGGGGTCTAATTTGTACATGCGACTACCCCTCTTTATCTTTCCATCACTGGTCAAAGAGGTAATTTCTTCTTCGAAGCTGATCCCTTCCAGTTGTTGCAAAATTACGTTTTCTGCAGCCTTCAGTTCCTCCACAGTAGTAGTTGATAAACCAACTGTTTTTTTCTAATTGTAGCTTCTTTCTTATTTTCAGACAGTTGGCTATTGCTCACTTGGCATTGAACCATTTGGAGAAATATTCTAATCTTTGTATTATAGACGTAAGTTCTGTTTCTTTAGCAGCTAAACACTTCACTTCAGGATCACTATCTTGTAAAGGTGGAGATTGGGCATAACCATGGAAATCTACTTCATGCCATAACATCTCTGGCCCATTCCACCATCGATCTTTCTTTATTATTTCTGCGGTACTAAGACCTCTTGAAGCATCATCTGCTGGATTGTTTAAAGTGTCTATCTTATACCATTGACTTGGTGTAGTGTAGTTCCTTATTTGCTGGACTCGGTTTGCAACGAAAATGTGGAATTTTCTAGCTTCATTGTTGATATAACCTAAGACAACGTTGCTATCAGTCCAAAAGAATTCTTCCATGTCTTTGTAGTCTAATTCCTTGCGTAGGATGGCGCTGATTCTGGTGGATACCACTGCTGCTGTGAGTTCAAGCCGGGGAACTGTGATCTGTTTCAAAGATGTGACTCTAGCCTTCGCCATAACCAAGGAGCAGTGTATCTTGTCTAATTCATTGACGAGTCTTATGTAAGAACATTCACCATAGCCTATGAGACTTGCATCAGAAAAATGGTGCAACTGGACCGACTTCAGGTTGCCAAAATTGTTGGGTTTGTAGCATCTGGGAATCTTCTTAGTAGCCAGCAGGTGCAAATCTCATTTCCATACTTCCCATCTCTGTCGTATGTCTTCAGGTATGTCATCATCCCAATCAAACTTGTCTCTACATAAGTCCTGCAGTATCCTCTTCCCAACTAGAACTATGGGTGCAACAAGTCCTAAAGGGTCGAATATTGAGCTAACTGTGGAAGGAATGCCCCTACGTGTTAATGGACTATCTTTTAGTTCTATTCTAAACTGGAAACAATCGGATTCCACACACCATTGTACACCAAGGGTTCTATCTAATGGAAGCTGGTCTATGTTGATGTCAAAGACTTTGATGCTCATGGCTCTTTCTTCGTTCGGAATGGAATCAATGACACCTTTAGAATTTGATAGGAATTTATGAAGATGAAATCCTCCTTGTCGACATAATTCTTGACTCTTCTTAATCAAATCAACTGCCTTGTTGGGAGTATCAACAGATTTAAGACCATCGTCGACATAAAAATCACGCCTTATGAAATTGGCAGCTTCTTTTCCATGAGTCTCTTCAAATTGATTAGCAGCTTCCTTTAATGCATAGTTGGCACACCCTGGTGACGAAGTGTCCCCGAATAAGTGAACAGCCATTCTGTAATCTGACACCTCTGTCAATGATTCATCACTCCACCAATCAAATCTGAGCAGGTCTCTGTGTTCAGGGTTAACTCTAACTTGGTGAAACATGGCCTCAATGTCGCATACAAATGCATAATTTTCTTGTCTGAATCTGGATAGGACACCAACCAAAGTATTGGTAAGATCAGGACCTTGGAGTAGTTGTTCATTTAAACTGGTATTCTTATATTTAGCACTGCAGTCGAAAACAACTCTCAATTCTCCTGATTTCTTTGGAACTGCATGATGTGGGATATACCATACTGGTTCCTTCTTTATTTCTTCTGGAGGTACCATTTCTGCACGATCGTTTTCCAGTAACTTCAGCATGTATTCTTAGTATGAAGACTTGTACGTTGGGTTCCTCTCCAGTCTGTTTCTTTGACTACTAACACGTTTTAAAACTAACTCTCTGTTATTTGGAAAAGATGTGTTTTCTTTCAAAGGAAGTGGCATCTCAAAATGTCCATCTTGTAGGTGAACTCCATCCTTTATGGTTTTAAGAAACTTTGTCATTGAAAGAATATGGCACTTCATCACATCTATGGTCAATGAAATCCATGTTGAACATTCTTTCTAGTGTCTCCATGTTAACTTTGTTGACATAATACTCTTCACCATATCCTTCAGTATTAGAATTCTTTACACCATTTATTGTTCCTATAACTCCCCAACCAAGATGAGTTTTCACACCATAAGGGTCAGTTTCCTTTCCAGGAGCAATCTCTATAGGTTTGATGGCCTGTATACAGTTGATTCCAATGAGCAGGCCTATCTCCACATCTTCTCTATATGGCATTAGTAACTGTGATACATCTGTGAGATGTGGCCATTTTGATACGAGGTAATCTTTGGGAATCTGACTTCGTTTGGATGGTATAGTGTCTCTGGAATACATTGTGGGTAAGTATATTTCTTTATTTTCAGTCGTTCCACATACCATTAATCTTCGTGGTAGTGATATCCTTTTTTCCTAGTATGGTTGATAATAATAAACTGACTTCATGACCTTTAACCTTTAATCTTTCAGCAGTAGAGGATTTGATGAAGGAACAATCTGATTGGTCATCTAATAGGGCATAAACCATTATTCTCCTATCTTTATCATTACTAGGGTAAATCCATACCGGAACAATGAGCGAATGGGTGTAGGTTGGCTCTTGGTGGCTGTCTGTACACGTGTTGACTAATAATTCCCTTTTAGACATGTGTTCCTTTGATTTAGGACTGAAGTTGTCATGATGGAGGGACGAAGGATGACGTCCTTGATATGTGTCACAGCTTTTTCTTGTTCTGCAATTTGACACTCCATGTCCTTGTTTAAGACAACCCCAACATAAATTTTCTTTTACTATAAACTGTTTTCTGTCTTCAATTGGAATGGTTAAGTATTTCTTGCAATCATTCAGATAATGATCTGTTCCTTTACAAAATAAACATCCAGTCTTCCTGGTTGGTGTTTTGCTCCTGTCTTCATCCACTTCTGACTTGAATGTGGAGAAAGATCTTTTTTGTGCTGTTTGTCTGTTCTTCCAAGAGTTGTCTCTCTTTCCAGGATTTTCTCTCTCTTTCAAACTGCTAAGACCAGTAATTGGATTTGATGCAATTCTTGCTTCCTTTGAGAGGAAATTGCAGAATTCTTTAAATGACGGATATCCTCCTTTAGAAATTGTTTTCATCATCATAAATATCTTCAGAATGTTGACTAAGTTGTGTATCAACTATACGACCCCAACGTGGAACTATGTAGGTTGGTAATTTCTTTAGAATCCTACCGTTTTCCTCTGGATCATCTAAAACCTTCAAATATTTTGTGGATTCACCTCCAATACTGCATTGTTGAAGAAAGTCGCAAATTTTTGTAGCGAGGAACTAGCGTTCTGTATTTTGGGCCATTCATGTATCTTCTTTCTGAATGATTCAGCAACAAGGAAAGGATCTCCAAATCTTTGTTTTAGGATACATTTTGCTTTTAGATAGGCGTCTTCAGTGTCTAATGAGAGTATTCCACTAATTGATTCCTTAGCCTCACCAGCAGTATAACGTCCAAGATAGTAAAGTCTCTCAGCTGGATTATCTGTTCTACGCTCTATTAGTGCTTCAAATGATTTTTTCCACATCGGATATTTCAGTGAGTCTCCACGGAATACTTCTGGCTCTGGTTTTGGTAGTGCATCTCTATCCTGTCTTTTGGTGAGAATGTTGGCTAGGGTTTCGAATGGATCTGTAACACTGTCGTGGGATGTAGTTATTGGCATAGAATTATTTTCTGGTGCAGTTATCTGTTGTTCTTGTTCTTCAATATTTACAGGTTCCATCGAACAGTTTTCAGTGTCGAGATGTTTCTCGCTTGCAATCAAGGAATCAGGATAAAAGAGTGTAGCATTATGGTCCAAACCAGAATGCTCTTTAATAATTTCTGTATCCAGCTGTTGATATAATTTTGATTTTGCATCAGCTATAAATAATTTAGTGTTGATTTCTAATTGCTGTTCTTGAAATTGGAGATCTATCTTTGCCTTTTCAATCTCTCTTCTTTTTGTAATTGCCTCGGCTTCTGCAGCAAGCTCAACTCTTCTTGTATCTTCCTTTGATTTCAGAGACTTGATGCTTGATATACTTCGACTTGAATGAGAAGAATAACGGGAAGAACGATGAGAAGAATGATGAGATGAGTGACTTTTGTTGTCATCTAATATTGAATCAAGTTTTTGATCACATTGTCTTANACTCTTTGTGTTTCTAAGTCCAC